CACAGAGCAGTTTTTTATGAAGTTAGAAAAAAGTTTGGGAATCCAAGGTTTATCTTTGATTCTTTGGTTTGAAATTGTTTTCATGGGAAAAAATCGTAGTAAGCATTTTGAATGACGGAGCTGAAAATTTCAGTACAGCTGTTTGCGTCTTTATTGTGTATACTACTCTTTCTATCTCTTAAAAGGTATTTTCACGGTACGAAAACTGAATTTCAAGGTATTGAAGTGTCTATATCTACAAAATTCCTTGCCAGTGTATTTTTTTCTGTACGAGCAATATGTGTGCTTTAGATAAAAAAGGACTGGGCACTGAGCACTGGGGGCATGCTGAAAAATTCCTATATTCTAATCTTATTTACTAAATCAAATTATCTATACCTACCACGTCTCGTTTTTCCGTGCATCATATTGTCTTTCCATATCTACCAAATTTGGTGCTAATATCTGTTTTTAGACGATAGATAAAGACCTATCTTCCTGTGGGGACTGGACATGAAACACCTCGCCCATCTAGAAATAGAGCTGGGGGGATGATTTTTTAAGAATGGGTCCAACCCTCATCAAGAACGGGTTCAAGCCTCAACGTGGTAAAGTGTCTATGTCTGCCAAATCTCGTGTTTTTATCGTTTTCATGCATAGGAAATACTGCTTTTATCTGTGGCACTATACTGTGGCACTGTATAAAAATAACTTTGAATATGACGTTTTTTGCTAAAAACTATTCAGTCTGTGATATTCCTGTCTTCAACAGCAAACAGGACCAGCAGAAAACAGCTTCATTCCATAGATACCACTCTTCTTGAAACGATTGATTCTTTGTATTTAAATCAAGTGACGACGGTATAGGCCTTTCTGGTTGAACAAAAATATTTTCCTCGCCGACGCTTCTAACAGCAAAACTTCTTCAGTAGCAGAATCACGATGTTGTCATTCAAAGATATAAACGTATGTACGGGTTACTTGAAATTTCATTCCAATCGCAATGTGACACCAGGCATCGCGGAGCGTTGAGAAAAGTGGGTGGTCTAAAAAAAGTGGGTGCCTGGACCCCCTTTGTTATCTAAAATGAATGGATCAGGCATAAAGATGATTTCAGAACATGAGCCAATTTTATCCTTTTTTGAAAATTGTTATCTTTGGAATCTTCAGTCGTTTACTAACAAGAGAATGATGCGTTATTGCAGCTGGACATTTTCTTAATTTTTTGCTACACAATGAGTATGCAGAAATGGCGCGAGGTAAGATTCTAAAGGGCGCCAATGCGTTAGGCAACAAAGGGTTTCTGTCTCCCGACGTGGGGTCGACAGATATAATCACCTCTGATCGTTCCTACCTTTTATCAAAAATACGCTGCGGTGTGTTGGATCTTTTTGACCGGGTTGCCTTCTGTTGCCATCGGTGGAAATCTTGAATGACCCAATGAACTTTTCAGCTTCTTACTGGTTCTTCTTTACTTCGATAATCCATTCGTCTTTTAAGATTTGTACAGAAATTTCATCTTCACAGAAAATTTTGCAACATCTCAAGGTAAATGTTCAAATTTCCCGTGGTGTAATTTAACGGGATTTCGTAAGTGTATGTGGGGGACTGGATCCCAGTTTAATTCATGTCATGGTTGCTTTTTACGATACATTGCTTTTTGTGTCACCGTTTCGAGTAGGCAGACCTGTAATCTCAAGTTATTTGAAAAGAACTGTGGAGTTTTGACAAGTTGTTCAACCCACTTTGCCCTGTGATCGAGAGAGGCATTTGTGACATAAATTCAAGATCTACTTGTAAGGCTAGGATGAAAGGTCTTCCTAGAATAGAAAGGGAAAAAGCTTGCTATAACATTCTTTTAATAATAATATTGTTTATAAGAATACTCAGGCTCAGAATCATTCTATTTTTAAGAATATTTAAATTAGCCTTGGAATTAGTTAGAAACATTTTGACCCCAAGATAAATGAAAGGAAAAGAGAAGAATATGGAAACAGATCCATTACATGGCTAATGTGTTTTGGAGAAGATGGTTGAAAGAGTATTAAACAATTTTACAAACAAGACAGAAATGGAAAGAAAGTAAACAAAACATTTCCAAGGGTAGCTTAGTGTTAGTTATAGAAGAAAGCACACCTCGAAACTTTTGGCCACTTGGAGATATCTTCGACGTTAATGTTGGAAGAGATGGTTTGGTTCGTCCAGCACTGGTCAAAAAGAAGAACCCAGAGTTGGCGAGACCAGTAAACAAATTGTGCTTGCTTGAAGCACAAGGGCAGAGCGAAGTAGATTCGCGCTATAAACTAAAAGAAGAACAGGTACCTAGAGTAGCCTGTTTGGTGGATATGTTAGTGTGAATAGCCCCTCGGACGTTTGTTGTAACATTTTATGAGTAAAAGTTAATTTTTATCCCACCTCGTGTTCATATTACATTGTTTTACTTACGCCTTTTACTGCACGTTTTATTATCCCATATTTGGTATTACCGTTCTGCATGCCCCTCCTTTTTTTCGTTTACTTCCAGTAGCTATAAAGGTTTTTAAACCACTCTTTGGATGGTTATTTATTCGCCTTAAATTTTTCTGTGTTAGGGGTAGTATTTCTATCGTTTCGCGTGCAGTTGGCCTAAATAGTTTCTTTCTCGTTGAGTTAGGCCGTCGTTTGTGCAACGAGTTTATGGCTACGAAGACTAATAGATTGTAAGTTGTATATAATTATGTTTAGTTACCTTTCACTTTAAATTTGTAAATAGTTTATACTTTATAGTTTATACTTTATAGTATTTTATAGTTTAGTTGGAACTCTTTGTAGACTTATATACTTCAAGCATTTATGGACATTAGCTAACATTAATTAACCTTTGATAATGATACGTTTTCTTGATATTGTAATATCAAGCTTCCCTTTGTATTCTTATTTTATCACCTTTATGTATGTTAATTGTTAATATTTTTCTTCATCAAACCACGTTTAACACATCACCTCAGCACCTGTGTTGTTTCTTGCTGTGTTATCTGCTGGAGATTTTGGTGTGGTGCGTTCAATAAACAAAATTGTCAGAATTGCAATTGGTGGACTTTATCATATTCCGTAAATCAACCACCCATTAAGGTTCCCCAACCAATCGCAATTCTGTTCAGTGAGATGCTCGATGGTAATGATCGGGGCTTAAAATTGTCATTTTAAGATGCAAAAAATAATTTAAAACCACGAAGTTTACTTGGATGAGATAACAAAACACCGCAAGTCTGAAAAATTAGCAATCTCTCCCAGTCTTAATGGTGTTGTCCTCTGAAACTTTCTGAGGGAATGACCCTCAACTTCTCCTACCTACTCGAAATCAAAGATGGAAAACCTGAGTTTAAATTTGATCTCCTTCACTGTTAAATGAGTTCTAAGACATAAAAACATGCAAAAAACCTGTGTGAGACAACTGTGTGAGACATCTCTGCGCTACTGTAGAGGAAATTGGTCTCAGAAGTTTAGAAAATACCATGTTTTTCTGTAGATTTTTTATCCAGGGTGATCCTGGCTACGTAGAACACACTACCCAAAGATTGGGGGATAGAATAAAAAAGCATTTCCCTTTACCCACCTCGGTTTTGCAGATCTAAAACTGCAACTAAAACAGACCATTCTGCTATAGGGCAGCATTAAATAGAAAACCCATATTGTTCAAAAAACTACAATGACGACATGTTTCGGATTATTGGTAGGGCTCGATCGACGTTCCATCTAGCAGTTTTGGAATCTGTCTACATAAACATAAAAAACTGCTATTGTGTAGACAGATGGAGTTCGTTTTCACCTTAGGACTCCATTGGTAACATTCTCATTAGACAAGCGGCACTGATTAGGCAGCCTCAACAGTCATGTGCTCTTGTTTTTGATTGGCCTATTTCGATCCACAACTGGGTATATACATTTCCTAGCGTAAATCGATCTATGTTCTGACGTTTGATACTCTAAAGAGTGTCTGCCGAAAAGCTTCAGTATGACTAAAATGTTTGCTTTTTCCAAGCCATTTCTAAGCTTTGTATCATTAAAAGATTGGAGAAATAAAAGCCTTCTTTAAATTAACATATAATATTTTCGTAGAACAAAAGATTTCCACAGATTTTAAGTAATTTTCCGTTGGCAGCGATACTTTGGACCCTCAAATGTTGAGTACAAAAACCAGTCTCTCCTATTAGTTGCCTAGCAAAAACAAAGTAGAAGAAAAACTGCAAGATTTTCCTCGTTGATTTATGATCATCTTCTTCTAAGGGCTGGAAATCTTAAATTTCGATGAAAGTTTCTGCGATACTGATATCCCTTTAGTAACATTTAAAATGCGCTTCTATATAAAATGTCTCTTCATCAAGGCTTCTTTTGAAGGTAGATGTTGAAGGTAGATTGTTATTATAAGAACCAGTAAATTTATGTTCAGGCTGGCTGTTCTTAATTTTTACGAAAATCTGACGCTGGATTGTTTTTAATTTGTTCTTAAATTATTAGGGTGCAAGCAGAAACTTTCCATGACTTAATTGCCATTAAAAAAGCGTCACCGCCTTGATCAGAACTCTTTATGAGCGAGCAAAGAGCACGGTTCTAGTAAGCAAATGGTTACAGCAGTTGGTTTACATTCAATGTGGGGGTAAGACAGGGCTGCATTTTTTCACCAATACTGTTTAATCTGTTTCTTGAACGAAGAATGAAAGATTCACTGGAGGGTTATGTAAGCGAAATCAAATGAGGGAGATTGCGACTTTGCTATTTGCAATTCGACATCAGTGTCAGTTCTGAAGAAGAACTAAGAAAACTGACAAGACTAACGAATTTGAATGCACCCATCCAAGTAAATGGTGGAGATCTTGAACATGTCATTAGCTTCAAATACCTTGGCTTAACGATGACTGAAGAAGGAACACCAACAACAGAGGTAATGTGGGAAAGTTTGTGTATAGTTGAGTGTTTGTGTACCGCTGCGAACGAAGCTGTGACGGAGGAGGACTTTGAGATTGTGAACGCGGAGAGTGAGCTTTTAAATTGAGAGATAAACAGCATATTAACAAACTTACAACAAGAGAACAACTTACAAACAAGAGACTTTTTAGCTGAATTAGAGAACTTAAAAGCGAGAAAAAACACGTGAGAACCTTCGTTTTATTTACATTGCTATTCTTTAAATTAATTTCTGCTTGCTGACGTTTTGTTATGGATAGGCGACAGGTTTGAAAATTCACCAAAAAGGCACCCATTGATGGCAAAAAATCTTGTTCAAAAATTACATTTTACAGTAGCTCAGCTTCAGCTTTTTCTTAATTCGTTTTTATTTTCTGACCAATATGGAGGCCCGTGTTCTAATAGAGAGTGTATACAATGCAAGACAAAATGATCATTTGAAGGGAAGTCGAGCCTCTCTTGTTTTCCAGGTTGACTATTTTTAAATTATAATCTCTGCAGCACATTCTGGTGTTACGGATGCTTCCGCATATAGCAAAATTTTTAATACATATCTTAATTAACCTGTTTTGTCATTTGTTTTATGCTTCCCACTGTAAAGGATGCCATGATTGACCGGAAAAATCCCCGAGTTGCTTGCCAAAGGAACCCCATAGCGACGCGCCCTCCCATGCCCCATTGTGGCATCGGCTCTGGCCAATTAAAAAAAAGAAGCAATGCCACAAAAGTAAAATCGAATTTAATTAGATGCATACATACTTCTTTCTCCTCAAAGGTGAAAATTTTAACTGCGTCACAGATTATTTGATTTTTTGATGGCATACACTCATCCAGCCACTGTTCCATGTACAATACAACAAATTGCCATCCAACCGACGATTAGACTTTGTTAGAAGTCAAAATAAATTTAGATTTTGTCGAGTTATGTTTGAATAATGAATATATGAAATTAGAGATTATATTTAGACTAATTGATTGAGTTCCTTTGAAGACTTTTGATGAATCAGAAATAGGATTCCAAAGTTCCTTCACGGCGAACGTCGCAAGTCCAGCAGTGAAACCCGCCCCCAAGAGAGTTTGCGTGTCGTATGCTGACTGGTATGCATTTGATCCCAAGTGATTCGAACATCTATGAATAAAATGAATAAAATAATATGAAGGAATCTTTCTAGAAAGATTTGCATTCAAAGTAAAAGGATCAGAAGGATGCAATGAGATATTTATCTCCTTCAAGATAGCGAGACATATCAGAGACATTGCACCTGTCATTGAAGTATAACATCGCATAATAGCCATTAGCTGAGTAGAAACTAATTTAGGTGCTGGTTGAAAGAAACATGAGGGAAAGAATGATGGGTTTGACTGGTTCCTTGACCAATAAGTATTCTTGGGTGTTTAATCGTACAATTATCTATCTACAAAAATTTGATTTTTACCCAGCTAATTTAATAGAAAATCTCGAATTTGATATAAACTTAAAACAATGAGTTAACTCAAAGTGAATTTTATTTGGAAATTTCGAAGCCTTCTAATACATGATATTTAGTTTTAAATTATCATGAATTAGATTCTACACTGGTTTATAACCTATTTTAAAGCAATTTTTTCTGAGAATATCCCTATTTGCAAAACCATCAACTGAGTTATTTGAATTATTTCAATTTCAGCCTCTTTTCTGACAAGCTTTCAAAAGAGTCTAGTACTTCGTCGTAGTTGAAGCTCTCGTCGATTTCGTTCTCAATTGAAATAAGCGTTAGCCCCTTGAGTCGTTGCTGACCAATCTTGTTTCGTCGATGGTTTTTTTTGTCTTTAGTTTTGAGAATGACCTCGCGGGCATTGGCTGTTTTGATAAGTGTTTTTTATAGGCTCTATACAAATTAGGAAACGCCTATCACAGTCCGGTTTCATGCAGATGCTGCAGCACCATCATTGGAGTTGTACATTGTTTCACGACTAACTCCCCCTTTTACCAATTTCTCGTTGTTTTTGAAAGCTTTTCCACAAAATTCTTTCTAAATACTAGAGAGAGTTAAAGCATTCTGCGTCTAAATCGGGATTCTCTCATTTGACCTATTCTTGATACCGAATCTACATTTCTTTCTGTGGAAAGGAGTGCTGTTGAAAACAGGTGATTGCGGTATTAATGGAGTGCTGTTGAAAACAAATGATTGCGGTATTAATGTTAGAAATTTTTTAAAATGGCCGAAATTACAAGTGTCACATATTTTCGAATGCAACTGCCCAAGTGTCACATATTTTCGAATGCAACTGCCCTCTTCCCCTTGCCCTCCTAATTACCACCACTGGCTATTTCACTTGAGCCACGTATAATGCCATGCCTCTTTAAAGAGCCTACCTTGACAGTAGTTACTTCATTTGGATCCACAACAACTCGCTTCTCGTCAAGCATCAGGACATTCATGCTTAGCCACTTAGAAGTCATCCACAACGGATGTGAATCAGGAATCAACGGTAAAGGTGCTTCAACAATCTTCCATCCAGCCTTCTTGAACATTTCAATCTGATTACAGGGTCGGGCAGGGTTCGATATCACAAGTCCGGGTCCAATTATGTTGAACGTGCCGTCAATATGCATAGGATTTGGATCCCTGAAGGAAAGTATATGAATCTTGTATTCATCTCCAAGATGCCTCTGAAGCCACTTGATACCTTCGTAGTTTGTTACCTAGAAAATAATTCCAGCGAAAAGCTACTAATGTGTTCTTGCAGTCTTCTGAGGCAGACCTTGCTTGTGTCAACTCTGGCACAAATTGTCATTCATTTTAACACATCCAATTCAGTTGTACCGGGAAATTTCCCGGTGGGCGCATGTCAAAGATCGTTTCATTATGGTCCTCATAATAGCTACGGCCCTTCACAAAAAGTACAAGAAATTAATAGAAGAAGATTATAAGATCCATTTAAAATTCTAACTTGGGAATGAAATACCAATACAAAATGAAAAGCATAAAGCCCCCTCAGAAAAGCACAGACATCAGATGGTCAGTCATGAGGCTACGTTCCCACATCATCGAAAGCGAATTGGGCTGTTGGTGCATCGGCGCAAATCGCTCGACCTAACATAAATCTCTAACATGAAGAGAAGTTACATAATAACACCCAAATATGAGTGATAATTGGGAGGGAAAGGATAGGAAAAGCCTCTTTTCCCCACTTATAGCCGATGCACTAGTCCTACCTAACAGCATCAAAAAACTAAATAGCATAAAAGATGCCTTAAGGTATGAGAAGTTTTAAAGTGCCTATGAAATGAAATTTGACAAGTTTAGATAAAGGCCAACTTTTTATAAGCAAAATTTGCTGATTTCAATGATATATGTTTAGTTGATTCTTTCTTGCGTAACCGTTTTAAAATGTAGATTGTAGATCCCAATTTTCACGTTTTCGACTGTGACAAAGCGCGCAGATGCGTGACGTCACAAAGTTTTGCAAACACGGAAGCAGTTGGCCGAAGGGGGCAATTTTAAGTCAAGGTCCATATCCAATCTTTTTTAGCGCATCAAACTGTCCTATTTTGCAAAGTTTCATACTTTTGAACCAAAGTTTGACTGAAATACGATAATACCGTCTATTAAGGTCTGATGCAGTGTACCCCAGTCTAAAAATAGCGCAAGGGGGCAATTTTCGGACGGGGTCTATATCCTATCTTTAGTATCAGACTGTCCTATTCTGTGGCATTGTGTGTTTATTGTGAAGACGGAACCAACTGCAAACCTTGTGACGTCACTGATTCTTGTGCTTTATCACACGCACTCATTGTTTTTAAAAACCCCAAAACAAACTACCCCGTGCAAATTTTCCAGTTAATTTTCGCTTTATAATGCAACAACATGTAGAAGTTTAAATTTCTTTCAAAAAAACCAAGTGTGAAATCTCGTTTGATAGGCACGTTAACGATGCCGTAAAAGAAACTCAACACGCAAAGCTATACTGAAAAGGCATTTCATATATAGAAACAAAATAAGAGAGGGAGGGCTGGGAAAATAAACACCCTACTTGTATTGGGGCGTCACCAAGCAAGGTGAGACCCACACTATGCCAAAACCTTAAATACTCCTAGAATAACCAAGGGAATGAAAACGCCATGACACACACACCTTACCCTAGTTCACAAATCAAATCCTTAGGAGGCCGAAAGACTCCCCGCATTGCCCATAAACTAGTAGAGCAGATATAAGATATAAGATAAACGTGAGGAAGCGTGACACAAGAGTCCATATCGAATAGGAAATTATAACCAGCTCCAGCGAATTAGTTAAAGCTCAAATGCCCCTGGAGAAATTAACTCTGATTAAATTTCATTTAATCATCATTTAGAAAGAAATCTATGTTCTTGTACCCTAGAAGCCAAAGCCTTTGAAGAACCGAAGCAAACACTTAAGGTGTAAAAGATAAAAGCTGAAAAACGAAAAGATGTTCAATGAGCGATAAAATATAAAGTGAAAATATTCTTCCTTAGGAGTTGCTGGATGTTGAAAAAAGTCATGAACGAGCAAGAAAAGTGGAGACGCTATTGAAATATCAAGAAAGATGGCAGCAATTCATTACCAAACTAATAAGGTTCGTTGAACTCTGTCAACATGCCGAGTTACATCGAAAACGCCTTTAAACTTATGGTTTCTGTAAACTGAGTAGAAACCAAGGTTCTAGGTAAACATAATAAGTTTAAAAAATAAATCTAATGCAACCTGGCTTCTTTGCGCAAAAATATCCCTTCCAGCTCGCATGAAATCTGCTGCATCAAAACAAGGTTCGTGTTCTGTTGTCACAAAGTGTCCTGAAGCCACTAGTTTGTGCCGCTCCTGCACAGATTCCATAGGATATTCCTAAAAACGTTTACAACTTAAGCACACTTTTGCAGGAATGATGGCAGTTATAGATTTGGGGGAAAAGATTATGATATTGGAATTTAATGCTAATAGGGAACGAAATAAATAAAGAAAACCATCTTTATAACAATCTTTTAGCTCTTGAAAAGAGGAGGGTCGATAAGGGGGCTAGGGGAGGGTCGTGAAGGGAAGGATTAGGAAGGGAAAGTTCAAGGCCAAGTCTCTTTAAAAATGTCTATATTACCATTTAAATATTACGAATTCTCTTGTCAAAGTTTGAAGATATTTCCTTCAGCTAGCTTTATAGAATCAACGCCTTGAAGTTCGATAACAGGGGAAAACAACAACCGCATTTCCTTGATTCACATAAGCAATACTTTTGCATTGCCTTTTTAAAGAAAAATTTGCATTGCCTAAATAGGGCAATTCCTTTGTTCGCTGGGAGTCTAAAAAGGGCTGCGGCTGGTACGGGTTTCTACAAGAATCCTAGAAAACTCAATTTTTATTTGAAGGCCTATTACTTCTAACGGCTACTGTTCGACAAATGATGTTGAAAAGAAATTATCATTTCCACACTGCAAGTAGAGTCTTTTCTAAACAGTTTGCTCTCTTTACCTGGTCATAAAGTTCATCTGCCATTGTTGGCTTTGGTGCCGTGGTCCATTTTGCACCTGCATTGAAATACTCCTTGACAAGTCTACGATAGGCTCGGTACTCGAAGAATCTTGATCTCCAGGCCATTGGAGCTTCAATAATTTCTTCTCCAATGACTAAAAGTATGTCTCTCGGCATGGCAGCATACATGCCTTGGGATTTGAAGTCTGGTGTTTCGTAGCTCTAGAAAAAGCGGACTAATCTTTTACAACAATGTGATTGGGTTGAACTAGAAGACGAATGAAAAGACCTAATACTTAATCGGTTAAAACAAATCAATGAAACAAGCAGCCTTTATCAACTACCTTAAATACTCAAAAAGCCTCTGGAACTTTTTAGCCATTTATGGTAGAAAGTTTGATCCTACATGTTTCCGATTCTGTTTCGATATATAGGAAAGAATTTATGATACAAATGAAGAGAAAAGATCCTTTAAAATATTTAGATTTATAGAGGTTCAGAGGACTGTATTTGAATTCAATGATAAGGCAATTCTCTCACACACAAAATGTAAAATGCGATAGAATGAACACGAGTTTATGAAAGAAGAATGTAATTTAAACCAGATGAAGGACGAGAAGAAATAAGTACAGATTTGATCACACCTGAGAGTTTATATCTTTTTTCTTTATATGTAAGTTGTGATCTTCCCATAAGATTCTTTTCAACGTCTCGTTCGACTCCTCTTTCTCCAATTAATTAATAACAACTCACAAAAACATTGCATAAAGACAACAATAAAACAATGCAACATGAAAGCGAAGGTTCACGCATTTTACTACCGTTCAAAAGTTACAACAATTTATGCTCGTTATCCATCTGCAAAAATGTCTTCAAGGTCTACCCGTCTAGCACGGCATCGACATTAGACGGCAGCTGTTTCAATACGATTTTCACACTTTGAACCCTCAATTATTTGATTGTAGAAGTACAAGTCAGGTAGATGCCACAAACATATCAAATCAGACTTACTTTCGTATGATCAATAACATCAGGCCTCTTTACCACAATGCCCTCGTGCTCAAGAATGTTGCAAAATTCTTCGATTTCAGCCGCAGCTTTCTTAACGTGTGCCTCTGGGAAGAGCTTCCCTCCATTTTCTTTGTAAAATTGCCATTGAGTCTCATACATATTAGCTTTTACCTCAATTGTCAGCTTAGGAACGCAAGAATTTTCTGCACGCCCGACGATGACTTCTTTAAGAGGGTCCCATTCGTTATATGAGCAAACGGGAGAGGATCCTTGGACATCAATTTGCTTTGTAATTTGTTGATGTGTTTGTCGAACGACCTGCCAAAAACCATGTTACAAGTCAAAAAATGAAAATAAAAGGCAACTACATGTTATCATCCCAAGCAATAGCGGGAAGCCATTCCTCAAAACCAATACCTGAACGATATGGACAAGCGAAAGATGCAATGCTGTGTGAATAAGTGCTGATGAAAAACTAAAAGGCTAGAGAACATTGCTTGGAGTGAGAGTGAAGGCCCTCAACTCGTATGGGCGGTTCTGGGACCCTCCTCTCGGATGGTGACACTTTTGTCACAATAGCAGCTCGATTCAATCTTTTTATAGATCAGAGAGTTTGTCATTCACCGGAATAACGACTTTCCCTCTCTGATGGCAAGATAGGATTAGAGAAGAGAGAAAAGATAGGGACAGAGAAAAATGTGTGGCAAAACCACCCCCACCCCACTTTCCTACCCCCCCCTACCCCCCCCCCCAAAGAGTCACGAAACGGTTCTTTACTCGGCAGATTCGTCATTGTTAATGTTTACTCGGCAAACATGGCAATGGCATAAATCAAAAGATCAATGATAGTCGATGGTATATTTGATTGTTTTCAATTTCATTTCGATTTGATCCTCTTCTCTCCTCAGTGTTTTAATATTTCAACTGTTAATTTTCAAACTGAAACAACTGAGAACGAGGTTTTACGGTTACGTGGTTTTGCCTGTATTTCGGCTCGGTTTTTTCGGTTTCTGCCTTAAAATCTATCGGTTCTGCGGTTTTCAATATTGCCACAGTGAACGATTTTTGACGTTATTTGGGTTGGTTTTCCAGTTTGTATTGCAAAAATGTGTGGTTTTCGGATCTCAGTCTTGATGCATTTGCTTGTGCCTCGTACATAAAGTACGAAGATACCGATGTAAGCGCAGTACAATTTGAAGAAGTGAGTGACGCAGACGAGAATTTGGACGAGGTTGACGAATTCGATTTCAGCAGCTATGATGGAGAGGGTGATGGGGGATTAAAATTTCCACAAGCCAACTACGATGGATGAATTTTGAGAATCAACAGACATTCTCTTAGGTGCACCATCCTGATATGGAATACCCTGTATACTAGAGCCACATCGATTCGATTGCGGAATTGGAAGATAAGAGTTGGCTTTAGAGTGGGGTCACCCTAAGAATAGATCATTTCGACTAATTGGTTGAAGTGACTAATTGGTCACGACGCGTGTGCCTAGAGACATTCCAAAGTTGCTTCTCTTCTGTACTATGAAAGCACCACAGTAAGTACCCGCATATAAGAAGTTCCCTTGTATAAGGAACAGCCCACATTTTTTCAAAAGGCGCTCATTTTCTAAGAAGCAATTTTAGGCCTGAAATTAAAGTGTTTTTTATTTTCAAGTATAAACACTCGTTTTATATTTAATTTTTATACTCTAGGATGATTGTAGGGTGTGTATTCTATAGTATTCTGTTGATATTAAAAATTATTCTGTAGATTATGTATTATACACTTCTAGCAGTAATATTGGATACACGTCCAAGGACGGTACTGTCATATTGCTTGACTTGGTTTGACCTGACAGTAATTATTGATAAGAAACCTAGACCCTGGTGATGAGAAGTCTCTGTTGATAAGAAACTTTCCGAGTCCTCAGTTTAAAGAAGCGGTTTCTTATATGCGGGTACTTACCGTATTGTAAATTGTGAAAATAATTTACGTAAGTAGATCTTTTTGTGAATGGAAAACTCATTCGTATCTGTTCGTTGTCAATTACACTAGAGCAACTTGACATTGATCTGTTATTAATTCCTAGTCTTTTTATAAAACTTTTTATAAAACAATACAAGGATCAACATAACATTGTGTAGAGATAATATTTTCACTTTAATTGATAGGCTATGGATAGGTCTTGTAAATATCGACGCCAATTTGTCTCGAATGTTTCCAATAACAGTATCTTGTTGACATTTTATCTGGTTCGGTTCGGTTGCTAATCTCAGCAAGTAACTGATGCACGATAGTGCGTGTCGTTTATTGCTAACTTTTTGACATAGTTTGCTAATATGTTCTTCAAATGTGAGACTATAATCGATTATAATTCTAACTAATTTTTTTTATTACTTTCCTGTATAGTGGTACCCCCGATTTTGAGTAAAAGTTCCACCCAAGCAGCAATAATTGACTGGTAATTGAGGCCCTATAAGGGGTATTTGAAATATGAAATAATTGAGATTTTCGGGATGAAAATATAAATATTTAGGTTTTCGAGTCTTGAAATATGAAATAACTTTGGTTCCCAGTATGAAATGTGGAATAACAAAATAACTGAATAGGTTACCTCTTTAAATGTTGTGTGAGAATTATCTACTTGATAACAGCATTGACTTTTTATATAACAAGTTACTGTAAAACCTGAACTACACGCTACATTACATACACTACAAAGACGATACCCCGGGGAGCATTAACTCTGTCTACCCCGGGGCTATAACAAAGAGAGGAAAAAATGCAAGTTCGTAATTACAAAGACTTGAAGACATAAGAGACTATTGAATCTCAAGCATTGATTCAAGTGACTATTGATTCTGTAGACATATTAAACGAACATTTACCACCATATTACACCTGGGTTTTTCTTTTAATCTTTTTAATTTTTCTAGGGGTTTAAAAGGCTTTTCATACTTTACGTTTAGAAAAAATACCAATAGCATAAAATCTACCGCAAATACGTTTGGCTTTTATTATCTCAACGAAATAAACGAGAACATCAAATAACATCATCAACATGTTTTTATCTACATTGCTTTATTAAGTTATTCTTATCTTGAAAATAATGTTTCTGACCATATCTTTAATTTCAGTATGGCGTCAATAAGTAATGCTAAAAGTGATTAAAAAATCCTTCAAGCTCATTGTCTCTTCCAGCTCATGTCTATAACTGGCCCCTTCAGGTTGTACCCTCCACACAAAAGACTTAAGACTATCAGTTTTGGTACATGTATGTTTTTAGAGTTTCTTTATTTGTTTCCAGAAATAAGTTGAGCAAAACAATGATAAATATTTAATTCAGGGGTCTTAGATTCCCTTTAAAAGTACCAAATGATTCGACAGTTCCAAAGAGAATCAATTCTCTATTTTTACCCAAGTACAGAATCTATTTGGTTTTTTATGCACCCATTCTTTATACATTTTCCATATTTATGGCTGCAAAAATTGGTTTTGAAGACTTGGTTCATTTTGTATGTGAGTCGGTCCAACTTTTCGTGACACCTGAAGGCAGAATGGAACATTTCTTGACAAGATCGAAATGCTTTGTTGATTTTGAAATATGAAATAATTGCAAGATATCATCATGAAATATAAAATAACGTAATCCCCCCTTATAGGGCCTCGTAATTGAACTTCCATCTGCCATTCTCTGCAGATTTGGTGTTACTCATCTAATGTAAAAAGCTATTTAAAGGATTCCATGCAAGATTATGGAGGCAAATGTTATCGTTATTGAAAACAGTTCCGGAAGTGAGTCTTATGCGGACTTTAGACTTTTTCAAGGGTTTAGACTTTTTCAATGTGATGTCCCTTTTGAAGACGATCGCGTATGATATTGTAGTCTAGTACGTTGCTATATAAACGCATTTAAGCGTACACGTTCACACCAAAGAATGTTCTCTTGTTACGTGTAAACGGGACCCATGTTAACTGGTGGATGAAGCATAGTTAAGCCTTGGCCAAACTCAGGGGCGCAGCAGAACTTTTTTTTGAGGGGGGGGCGGGGCAAAGCTGAAAAATTCCGATAAAACTATGATTTTTCCGACAAAATTTTTCTCAATACATTCCTTGAAGACTACCCTTGCGGCATATACTGCAACATTTGATACTACAGTTGACATCCGCTATCTCGACTGCCCGCTATCTCGAACATTCGCTATTTCGAACTAATTCTGTTTCCCTTGGTTTTGCTACAGGGTTAAGTATAGAAAAACCGTTCGCCATCTCGACTGCTCGCTATTTCGAATATTCGTTATGTCGAGCCGTTATCTGTTTCCCCTAGACGAAAAGTGTTCGCTATCTCGAACTTTTTTGTTTTTGGTTATGTGAGAAAATTAAAAATGCGAGTAAAGAATCTGTTTAAACGGCAGGTGACAGTTAACAGATTAAAAAGACAGTGTTATAATACAATTTAAATGTTCAAATCAATGGATAAAGGGGTAATCCGAAGTTTAAAGGCAAAGTACCGAACAGTTTTGGTGCAGAAATACATCAGAGCAATTGATCAACAAGTCTCTACAAAAAATTAGCATTTTGAATGCAATGGACATAATAGCCGCATCGTGGTCTATGGTATCTGCTTTGCCAAAGCTGGCCTTTCTTCTGAAAATCAACATCAAGCAGCATCAGATGAAGATGACTTTTTTAAAGACTTGGTGGAAGAATTGACGAAACTGCGAAGAGATCAAAAAATTGCTCCAGCCAACACAAGTGCAGCGGAATTTATTGACTGCGACGACCAAGTCTTAGCAAGAGCAGCATTGCCAATTGAAGATGAAATCATAGCTGAGCTAATTGGTGAAGAAGTTGTTGAAGTTCAGGACGCCCAAAAAGACAGCCAAGAGGAAAGCCAATAAAGCAACGACAACCCTTTGACAAAGCCAACAACGGAGGAAATAAGAGATGCGATGGAGGTAATATCAAGATATTGCCTATTCTCAGAGAATGGAGAAGGGCTCCGTGAGCATTTCGTTAAAATGATTGGTGTTATAGAGACGGAACTGGTTAGAAAGAGAAAACAAATGACATTAGATGCTTATTTTTCTTAATGATTTAGTTTGACTTGTAATTTTTTAGGGTCATCCGATAACTCGAACATTCGCTATCTCGAACAATTTTTCGTTTCCCTTCAGAGTTCGAGATAGCGGATGTCAACTGTACAATATTACGGATGGATCTGGAAATCGTTAACGAATGGACAGGGCCTCCGACGAAGGGGGGGGGGTGGTGGGGGCTTTGCCAAACAATAGAGTTTTTTCAAAATCTTTTGTTGCGGGTGTCAAATTTTCTCTTGGCCCCCACACTTTTCAACCTTTGTCGGAGCCCATGATGGATCGTTCGTTATACACCTTCAAGTTCAACAATAGCCTTTATTCTAACAAAACTTACCAAATATAAATCGCTATGAACAAAACTGCAACTAGTTATAAATTTACACCCTACAAGTCTTCTCGCTATACTAGACAATAAACTGTCACGTTAGTGTTTATAGCTGTTTATAGCAAAAAGTTTTTTAAGGCACGTTTTAAATCGCATCACAATTACTTTGCACTTATTTATGCTAAACCTTGAATAGATATAACGCGTCCAAAAGAATATTGTCGGGCAACAATATTGCCCACTTTGGCCAAGGCTTTATAAATTTTATGTCCGGCAACATAGGCATCGGTGGTGACGTATTTCAACCGTTCTACTACTAATATATAGCCCCTTGGTGGTACTGGGCCCCATTCTACCTTTTCAGAGGACTGTACCTAATTACATTTAGGCTAGATAAGTTTCAAATTTTGAAACCAAACTGAACTGCCTTGGGAAAGCAGTTATGCATGAGTTCCTGTCCTAAATTTTATCACTATTGTCATCGACCATTGGCCCTTGAAACTGACGTGATAAAGAAGCTTATTGGTGTATATAATACAATTTTGACCGCTTTATTATGGGACAGTAAACCAGTGATTTTCCCAAGTCTTTATGATAGGAGGTGTACCGCAGAAAAGGATTTTGCAACGTGACCTATTTGTACCTCGTTCAAAATGATGGCAATTTTGACTGTAGAATGAATTTTTCTACAAAAAAATAATCTTATAACCTGAACTTTTAAGCAAACTTCATTTTTGTTTCCTGAGTTCGCGAAAGGCTCAGAAATTGAGCATAAATGGAAGATATTCGTTGAATTTTGAGAGCTAATCATTCTTAGGAGGTATCGAGAAGAACCAGTTGCTTTACCAGTTGCTTGCAGTGAGAGGGGGAAAGCATTTTGTTGGAAAAACTTCCACTGCGCAGTATTTTCCCATACTTTGTCCTTAGAAATTTTTTAGATTTATAAGATATTGTTAAGGTGTATTTAATAAATTACAGTTCTGTTTCTCTTGTTTTTAAGGATTGTACCATCGTTGCTGAGGCAATGTGTAAACATGTTTGACTAATTCCAATCTGCCTTTTCCCACTAACCTGATTCTTAATTCTGTTTGGTAGTTCAGGTGTAATTTACTTGGTTGATGAGTTGATGTAGGAGAGAGAATGTACGCTATTATCGATTGAATATATCTTACGGTTTATCCAGCCTGTTTCTTGAGTTTTACTCTCATTGCCTGCTAAAGAATCAAAGAATGTATGGGGTGGGATTCACCTCACATTTCGCTAAAGGTGGCAGGAGCATCTTTTGAAGACATTTCAAGAGTGAGTCTCTTCTCCATGATACGAAGTATCCAAAGTTTAAACATCGGATTTTAGATTGAAAATTGCGCCTAAAACCTTGGTCAAACCATTTGAACATTTCGCCAAATCTGCATATTTTCTAGTTGAACGCCGCGCGGATTTCACCCAACTTTGAGGAACTTTGAGAACTTCCTTAACTTTTACCAAACTTAAGATACAAAAATATAACAGTATAAAGATTTATTGAATAAGATAAGAAGATACCATTGCCAAGTTGTTTGAAAATGTAGCAGTCTCTTCGAATCTCAAGGGCGTTGTCTTCTGAAACATCCTGGTGGAATAGCCCTCTACCCTTGCTACATACTCGAAATCAAAGATGGAAAACCTGAAAAAGAGTTTAACCTAATCTTCTTCAATGTTAAATGAATTTTAGGATATAAAAATATGCTAACAAACCTGTGCGAGATATTTCTGCGCTACTGTAGAAGAAATTGGCCTCAGAAGTTTGGAAAATGCCATATTTTTTGTAGATTTGTTTTCTATATTTTTTAAAGTGATTGGCTATCTGGCAGTTAATTTGAAATGAAAACCACCACGGACTTGATACATCTAGTTTTGTGCAGCATTAACGGTTTTTGTGAAATAAACTTAAATCCCTTACGATAGAGAAGCTGGAGAGATCACGCGGGCATGTAGTAGGTTTGCGGCTTCATAGCCTCGACCCTTTTTCTACGTGCGGTAGATGTATTTGACAATGGGATATCTTCAGATAGCGGCTTCATCATAAGACACGTGTCAAATAGTTACATCTAGCAATGTATTGCCATCGTTGCCGAGTCTTTGCGCTTCATTGCAGATTGCGGCTTATGGCTGATTTTTACACGGTCTGTGGTTTTTAACCCCCTACGATGGATCACCGCTCAAGCCAATGAAGTTCTGCTATATATGTATGTGCATGCGCATTACAACAATCATCAAGTACAGAAGGTTTACTGACTTGATTGTGTAAATTGTTTTGTCACGACGGAATATGATGGAAGGGAGCTATTTGATCTTATTGATGAAGGTTATATACAATGATATTCAAGCGATAAAGTCGCTAGATGTCAAAAGCCTGATTTACACGAGACGAATTTTTTCGAAATTGAGACGAATTTTTCGCGCGAAGCGAATTTTTCGCCACGAATTTTTTAGCTGCGAATATTTCTCTCGAATTCGAAGCTCAATTTACACTGGCAAAAATTTTTATGCGAATTCGCTGCGAGTATTACAAAAGAATATAGCGACTGTCCGAAGAGTGCTCTTATCAGCAACCTTTAAATTTTAAATTTATCAAAAAGCGAGCAAAACAGCAAAAAGCGATACTGGGTTAGAAATATTTATTCAGGACGTCTTCAGAAGAGGGAATTCCATTTTTCGGTAAGAGAGATTTACGTTTACATTTATAAGACCAGGATAACTTCTTCAAATACTTTCAAAGGTCGCCATCGAAGCTTGATGAAACTTTCAAGAAAGGTTTTCGTCAATTTGAACTTCAAATGTTTGAATATTAATCTGATATGAATCCACATACATGGATTGTGTACAAGGAACTGGAAATGAATAATTACCAACCTATTTTATTGACGTTTTAAAGGTGAGAGTGTTTGAGAAAAAGAATGCGGAATAACGTAGGTCTTCTGAAACCGAAACAGAAGTCAGGTGTCTTCCAAAGCTGGTTTATTTTGCAAACAAATTCAGACCTTATATATCTGAAATTTCCGACAACGATTTATAAATGTCAAGTGGACACGCATTAAGTTAGAGGAAATAACGTCGTTATGAATTGTACAACAGATTTATAATAGATTTAAACAATATATTTACAATGACATCACATATTTTGTTTAATAGACTTTTGTCCCATATGGCGGGGCATATAAATCAGGCTTTAGTCTAATCAGGCTTAAGAAAAACTCTCTCCCTGACGTGGTAACCGATGTTTTCCTTTCAAAATCGAACTCTATTGTCATCGAGATTCCGAAGGGCTCAGTACGGGAAATTCCAATGCTGGCGAACGAAGCACAAAATTAGCGAAAAAATATTTAGTTTTGAAAGGTAACTTACATTTTGTCAGCTTGCCGTATGCTTTTAGAAGGTTTTAAGACACAATTTTTATTTGTTCACCGATTTTAAGATTTTAAAAATATTTTCAAAATATTAAGGTTTGGGGGCTGGGGGTGACGGAAACCCCCTCCCACTTTTTCAGAGATGAATATATTTTGCTGTCTTTTTTATCATACTTTGAATGAGAGTAAGAAATAAAAAGGGAACCAACTGTTCATTTACTGCTTGATTTTATTTGATTCTATTTTCACTGACTTATTTAGGTATATTTCTTTTATTGGTTTTTATTTGCATCAATTCAGCAGACAACTTTATGTTTCGTTGCAATGTCTGCATTTTGAATGTATAAACATGGCCTACTAAAGAAAATCAAAACAAAGAAGATGCATGTTTCTGTTCAGGAAGTAAAATTCTCTCAATTAATACAACAGCTTCTTGTTATCAAGGTCACCATTTCTTTTTTCCCCAATGTCTGTCACTAGATTTTTAGCATGACTCTTCACTTCCCAAGTTTTTCGTAAAAATCGATAATTTTCTGAGAACCATCGATTTATCTATTCTGAGCAGTAGTAATTTGCTAATTTCTAGTCTGGGAAATGCATTTTTAATCATTCTAGGAGGCTTAATTTAAACAATTTTCTTCCACATCGAACCCAATCATGGTGGGCCCTCCTATGCTACTAAACCCCATTCTTAGCCCCCTTCCCCAGTTCCAATTTTGTTGCGCCGTCTCTGCTAAGCGAAAAATCTAAAAACAATTGGCATCATATGGAAGTGGGGGGGGGGGGATAAATATGTGATAAAAAGATTAGCAGAAACTTTGAACTACTTCATTTGAATATAAACTACATTGGCCAAAAGTTAAGTAAAGAAATACCCGAGAGAAACAAAACCACAAAAAAAATTTAATACACACAATGACAACGTAAGCTTTGAATTTAGAAACCATTCATACTACGCAACTAGAAAGGGTCTTTGGGAATTTAAAATCACAGCAGGATCGGTTCTGATGGCATAGCAAACCAATTTCTGAAGATCAGCCTTCTTGTAATTGTAAAATCACTTTGCACAACCTTCCAATCTTCTACAGCGACAGAGGTTTTCCAGGAATCCTGGAAAATCTCACGAGTAGCCCCTATTTTAAAAAGTGGTCGAAAATATGACCAAACTATTTTCAGGCCATTTACGATCATTTAGACAGAAATAAGCTCCTTTATTCTAAACTGTCAGGATTCAGGACTTGAAACCAAGCAGTCATGTGTCTCCTAAACTTTACAAATGATATCTTTATTAACATGGACAAGGGTCAATTTACAGCAATGATATCTATAGACCTAAAAAAGACATATGACGCGGTAGACCAGAAAAGTTTGTTAAAAAGCTGCAAAAGTATGGTATCAATGGGCTTGAAAATTCTCTAAAGTAAATGGTGTGTCGTCCAGCGTTAGTTTGACTGTGGAGTCACACAAGGTTCCTGTCTTGGTCCACTCCTGTTTTTGATTCATATAAACGATCTACCCTACTGTCTGCAAAATAGCGATGTCACAATGTGCGCAGATGAAACAACAATCGCTCAACCATCCAAGCGTATAGAAGATCTAAATGTAGATCTCAACAAATGCCTAAAATGTCTTCAAGATAACACTTTCCTTAAACGCGATTAAAACTTCATGGTTGCAGGATCTTGACCAAATCTAAAGAAGATTTTCCACAATTGTGTTCGAAGCCCCTTAATTTGCTACAGGTGAAACTAAAGTCGAGATTGTCCATAGAACGAAATATCTTGAGGTTATGGTTGATCAACTTCTTGTTCGGGATTAACACACAAAGTTTGTGCAGGAAAAAATTTATCTTGCGCTAGGGATCTTGTAAAACGCCAATTCCTACCAATGCAAATTTTAGATAAGGTCTATCAATGGATAGTTCAGCCTCGTTTCCAGTTTTATTGCTCGATGTAGGCAAGCTGCAAGGAATCTAGGGAAAAAACCAAAATAGCAGCTATGATGCATCTGCTTCTACATTGTTGAGTAAGTTAAAGTGGCCAACAATCAGTAAATAATAAATAGAAAAACAGTTACACATGAATGGTCTTGTACCTAGTTACTCCTCCAATTAATTCACGAAAAATTCTTTTCTTAAGAGACATTATCAACAAGGAAAATTCAAAAACCCATTCAAACCCACTTATGAAGACAAAACAATCAGAAAGTGTTTTTATATATTGGTCCTCACATGTAGATTAATTTGAAACTCGCACTGAAACAAGTGACCTTTCCTTTGCTTTACTTTCTTTTTCCTTTCTAAACTTTATCTGTGTTTTGATAGTAAGTAGTTTTAAAAGTATTTTATTAATTTTAAAGGTTTTGTCACTGAAAAGCAATCTGCTTAGATTAACGGGATTACCGTGAATAAAGAATTTAAAATGAAATAAAATGAAATAATAAAATTTAGACTCAAAATAAAAGGTATGCGTAACGGAGTAGGCCTCCCAGGCACCTCTAAGGCGTAACCAAGTCATGTATACATGTTGAATTCGCTGCATCTATTACTGTTGCATTGCCTTGGCCTTCCACCTCGATACACAAATATCATACCATGATACTCGAAAATACAACGCCCGGCTTGTAAAAATTATGTACTACGGGTTAATTCCTCAACTTGTATAGATGCGTTATTTTTATACTAAAGTAGGACGTTTTTCGTAGCATTAAATATATGTACAGGAACGTAAATTGGCAGATATTTTTAGTGGCGATCGCCACTACGCCACCCGGCCCAGACCGCCCCTGTCTTTAGGTAACATTATGGCACACTGTTAGCAGGGCCTAAAATAAGAAATTTTTACAGATCCACATTTTTTATAAAAATTGGGCGTGGTACTTAGCTCGGGTTGTTATCATGGGGGTGGCAAATATATAAACTGCCATCATAGTGCCAATAGCTGTCAATAGCCAATAGATTTGTTCGGATCTCTGTCAAAGTTATTTTTTTTCCCTTCACCTTCAAAAACTCCCTTAAACAGCCTTGCTTCCAAGACTTTGGTATTTTTTGGTTTTTTGGAACCATATCTTCAGCTTTTCTCGGAACTCGAAACTTGAGAGATCAAGCATATTAATTGTAATATTTATCTACTTGATAAGTTTTCTGGAGCTATGCTGCTTTCCCCACCTGATTCTATCTTGTTGTAGGTGGGAATCAGCCTCTCTGCATCGACAGAATTAGGGATTGCTGCGCTGCAATAGATTTCAAATCAAGGCAACCCTGCTCGAGAAAGAGGCTAATGCATGCTCAGAATATCAAAAGTGGCCAGAGTTGCAATTTGGCCTTTTTGACAACTCAGTGTACTCATTCTTCATAAACAAAAAGGCAATTTAGATCCATGGTTCGATGGCCAAATTTCTCTATTTTGGCAGTTTCTCAAAACCCCTTTGGCCGTCATAAATTGATTTGGCCGAAGAAGCAAAATTTGGCTGAATTCTGGCAGCATGTTGCAAAAAACAACAAAAATGCAAAGGAAGCAAAAGTTTTACACAGATATTATTCAAAAAATTTCAAA